GGTGCCCCAGATTCAAATGTCCAAAAACACATAATTGAAACCACAAAATATCTCCATACTGCTCGTCCGTAGTGATCCAAGTGTCCTGAAGCCCCGACATAAAAAGTTGTTTGGAAAAACGCCATTTGAACTCTGTTTTTACCATCACTGTAGCCTATTTTTGGACGTTTGAATCTGGGGCGCCGTAAGCCTCCATTAGGTGGAGTTGTGTTGCTACCCCCCTCCCCCTTCATCTCCACAAGTGTTGTGAGGACTCTAAAACTTCACCTGAGCCTCCATCGGCATATGGGTGAGAAGATAATGGGTGAATTTTTATTTTTGGGTGCACTATTCCTTTAAGTCACAAAAATAAGGGATGGAGTAGTTAATAGACTCACATTTTAAACTACAATCTAAAAGAAAACAGGAATAAGGGTGTAACTTAACTAAACTAGGGAATTAAGTTTATGAATTTAGGGTGCCACCTATTGGAAATGGTATAGAAAGTGCTACAAATAAAAATGCCAACTATATGAAATGTGTGTACATTTATTTGGGATTTTTTCACAGTTATATAGTATAAATTATTTCAGTATAACTTGTTGTCTGGTTAACCCACAAGTTCTGCCTTGTCCTGGACGTCCTCCGTGTCAGGAGAGTTTTCAGGCTCCTCTTGTAAAGTCACGAGCATCTCACTAGACACTGTCCCCTCTGCTGTTACGTCACTGTCAGCTGGAGCCGAGCCATCAGTGGTCTCACTTGTGCGTTGCCCGTCCGCCTCCTGGGATGAGGTGATGAGAACAGCGCTGGTTAAACATTAAACAAATTTGCTTTTGTATCACTTGATTCTATCACAGTCTGGCTGTCTGTCCACTGCTGCTCGAAAAATCACACTCTCAATCTCAACACTGCTGCCTCCTTCTGGATATGTTTTCCTTTTTTGTGTGTCAGAATTTTTCAAGGGATAAGAAATATTCTTTAGAAATTAGCCACCTTGTCCTGGTTCTGAAGAGGCAGAGAACCAGATTTCTGTGGCACCTGCTTAGTTTCTTCAGTAGAAAATGTCTCCTCTGGTTTCAGACCTTCACCCAGTGGTGCCGACTCCAACTTACCAGTTTCATCTTCATCAACCTGCTGGTGAAATGGTGTGATGCAAACAGTTAGTAGATCTGTCTTTTGTCAGCCTGACCTCTGTCTGTATCCTCTTCACCTGAACACCTGTGTACATGCAGCATCTTCTTACTCTCCTCAACTCTTCTGTCGTCATCTGGCCTATCTTCAGCTGACTTTGCCTCACATTGTCTCTATATCATCTTCCCTTGCTCTTTATCCTGCATCTCTAGCATCCTCCATCTGTATACATGGCAACTTAAGACCTCATGCACATAACCTGTATTTAATCACCTTGTCTGTGTCTTGAAGATCAGGGGAACGAGGGCTTTGTTTGTCTTGTTGCTCTTCAGTTTTGTCTGTCTGTAAGTTGTCAGGATCTTGACTGGGAGTCGAGTGGAACGGTTCAGTCTGCTCAGTCTCAGCTGTGTCAGCTTCATCAACCACCTGCAGAGCAGTTGTGAGACAGAATAATGTAAATTTAGCACCACAGTTAAAAGTAAGCAGATGTTTTGCCATCTGTTCTCACAGTGTTTAACATTAGCTACTTTTTCATTTGTTGTGTATCATGGTACTAAAATGGTATTGATGTAATTTGGCCACGAAAAGTGTCTCATCACCTTCTCATCTCGGTCAGCGTCTTTCTCTTCTATTTGATTTGTGTTTGCCGTTTTCTCTTCTACATGATTATCACTGGGCTCCATCTCTGTTTTCTCTTCTACTTGACTGCTTGTCTGCTCAGCCTCCATTTTGTTTTCTTCCTGATCGGTCCTCAGCTCAGCTTCTGTTTTCTCCATGTCTTGATCGCTCCTTGGCTCAGCCTCTGTTTTCTCTACGTCTTGATTGATCCTCGGCTCAGCCTCTGTTTTCTC